AGGGAGGCATTCCTGTTGAGTTCCAGAACCTCTTTTTCTAGAAAAATAGCACTAGGCAACACTATTCACAAATTTAAAAGTTATCTCTGGCTCGCGCTGTATTATCATATGAAAGTCTTCCAAGTGTATTGACGTTCCCCCCCTTTAAAACTACAAACTCTCTTCTGCAGAAAATGGTGTTCCAACCCACCCCCCATTTCACTGGCTTTTCTCTTCTGCTTTTCCTTCTCCCCCTACTCTCTTTTAAAGTTTTCTTTGTAAAACTACAAGCTGAGGGTCAACACTACCTCTCTTTTTTCTCTCTCAACAGGAGCAGAAAATTTTCTCTCTCAAGACTTTCTAGTGCTAGAAGAGGCCCTGAGGCAGGACAAGCAAAAAACGGTAGGAAATACAGACCTTTGTGTAAAAAAATGTGTGATACCTCATGGGAGACGCAAATAGTTCACAACAGATATTTACCAGGCCAAAGTGAAGCTTCAGAAGATCTTTGGCTTTGCCAACAAAGGCAAAAAGTAAAACGCAAATAACTTGGAATCACATCTTTTCTTCTAATTCATGTGTCATCTCTTGGGCACCATTCACACATTTATTGGGTCACTATTACAATTTAAATGGTGAAGGAATGTGTTTGCTTCCCTCGCCTCAAACACACAGTGCAGTGGATTATCGATGTAAAAGTTCATGCACACAGCAGCTGGCCAAGACATTGCATTCTTTGACCCTCTCTTTCGAGGGAATGAGGCAAATGGCTGGAGGACTCATGCCCTATTTTGTATTAGGAGTCTGTATATGTATGTTGGGTGAACTTGCATTCCTAGTCCTCATTAAAGATTTGTCCAGCCAGATAATCTAGCCCAGGGGTTGGCAACCTAAGGCCCGTGGGCCGGATGTGGCCCAATCGCCTTCTCAATCCGGCCCACAGACGGTCCGGAAATCAGCGTGTTTTTACATGAGTAGAATGTGTCCTTTTATTTAAAATGCATCTCTGGGTTATTTGTGGGGCATAGGAATTCATTTATTTCCCTCCCAAAAAAATATTGTCCGGCCCACCACATGGTCTGAGGGACAGTGGACCGGCCCACGGCTGAAAAGTTTGCTGACCCCTGATCTTGCCTATGTCTGTCCATGTACCATGGTGTGCCAGATGAAGTCTTTGACGTTGCGTCAAATCCATGTTGCGTTAATATGTGAGAGGTGCTAAGGTGAAAAGAGAGCTGGTTGCATTCTGAGATACTTCTACGTCAGGGCTTCTGTGTTTGATACTTGATTCTGTAAACTTGAACTGTACTCACATAGTAAAACCATGTGAAATGAATGTGTAAGAGCAGCATCGTGGTGGCTTGTCCCCAGCCGTATGTGCATCCAACTGAATGGATGCACAGTGTTTCTGACTTTTTATTCGCTTGGGCATTGATTAATTTATAGATTGTGTCTGTGTGTATTTAGTTTTTGTAAATCACCCTGAAAATAGGTTTTTTAAATGAATATAGGTTAAATAACTATCTCATTTTGTTCCCCACTGATTAGACTTTTTTGTGTTTTGTCTGGGTGGGCGATTTGCTCCAGATTAGTAGACGGAAGAGGAATCTGCCACTGCGCGTGTAAACATTGCTTCTGCTCCCAGAAGAAGTCTGCTCTTCCTTCTCCTCCACATTTCACATTCTTTTCAAGGAAATGGCTGCTTCTCCTTGCCATATTTCCAGCAGAGAAAATCAGAGTCATGGGCTGCAGTGACAGCCCTATTGTGTTTTAAAGATGATTAAGAAGGCAGCACTTCTGAGACTAGATTTATTTATATTACCTAACGAAAGATTCACAGTCCCATATATATTTCAGAATTGGACTTTCCTCGAAGCCCCATCAGTAACTGGCTGATGAATTGCATCATTTGAGGCCTGACGGAAGAACGGCTGGGTGATACTTCAAGAGGACTGAAGACATTATAAAAACCCTTGTAATAGACTTAATGCTTTGTACCAACAAACTGCACCAAGGCTGCACATTCCTAAGCAGGCAAATGCTTTGTGGCACAGTTTTCACATGAACCTGAAGGACAAAGGCAAGGACACATTTTAGGACTCAAATGGACTGTGCCCTCTTCATTTAACCCTTGCAAACACATGATTTAATAGGCTTTCTAATGGGCACATTTAGGTACTTGACCTAACCGGTGACTGAGCAGTAGTAATTTGATTTATTATATTTCTGTGCCACTTTTCATTCAGAAGAATCTCAAAGCGGCTTATAAACAGTAAATAATAATGACATAACAGAACATCACAAATACAGTACAAATCATATAGAACAATTATATAATAATTATATAATAATACTGAGGGCAACTTGGTGCCAGGAAGCCAAGTTGCTGTAGTCCTTACAAGAGGACTGGCTTCTGAGTGTGTGATGCTGTGTTTTTGAACACAGCCTGAATACAGATTTGTCTGTGCGTTGGGTCTGTACTATGGGCCAGCTTGGATGAATAATGTAGTCAGGAATGAAAGCAAGAGCACACCTTACGCTTCCTCACAAGTCACCACACCTGCCCCATTTCTGATCCCACCATGCAGGAATGTAACATTTTAATGGTGCCTACACACAGGCAGTCCAATGCACCCATTTAACATGGTTGATCTCTCCAATAATACATTTTATACTAAGCCTACTAAAGTTGGGTCATGCACGCCCCATCTTAAGTCCCTCTTATGCCTGAACTGCCAATGCTGTTGTAAGTTGGACGGGCTGGTGGTGAGAGAGAGTAAGACATATGTTTTCTCCTCAACAGGGAGCAGTAACAGAAAGCATTGTCTAATTTGACTCTGTAGTGTTAGCTATTGCATCTGACAGCTCTGTTGTCTCATGTCATGCTGGGCACTCCAGCAGCTGGTAGAGGAATGTGACAACCTCTAAGAGCAGAGCAGAGCAGAATGATTCTGGATCTGTCAAATATCTGGGCAACAGTATCTTGCTGTACATAGCTCTTGGCTTGCCAGGCTCAGATTCGAAAAGGACTCAAGTTTTTATGCAGGCAGAGTCCAGTTGGACAGTTGGTTGTGAGTCACCTGACTGTGACTCAGGAGATCTTTGGACAGAACCATTCTTAGCTCTGGATTTGAGGGTTTGTGCAGTAGATTTCTGCTCTGGTGATTGGCTTTGCTTGTTACTACACTGAACTAACTGTCTGATAAAGCTCCATACTAAGATTTAACCTTGCATCCCTGCCCCACCCCCATTAAGTGTCTCATCCTCATAGCTGCAAAGATGTATTTTAAAACATCATGGAGGAACTGTTGCAGGGAAATAGGGTAATAAGAAAAAAACCCCAAACCTAACTCATTATAACTTTTCACTCTCACGATGTTTAGGTTTGTACATCAATATTTTCCCCCAAAGCTGAGTGATCTTAGGTTTTTATTGATTTTGCTTAACAATCTTACATAAAATGGAAATTAAATGAAAGTTAGTAATAAAGGAGAATGGCATATGCATGACTCTTATATATATATGCACCCTAATCAGTATGCTATTGAATACCAATCATCCTACAAGAAGAAATTAGCTGGCAGAAAAATATCTTAGGAGGAGGATGACACATTCACACTCAACATGTCATAAATGAGATAAAACTAGGAGGAGAAAGCAGAAGTTTTTGTTGAAACATTCCAGTTACCCAGAAGCTGACTAGTATTCTGCAACTAAGGGAGCAATTTCAGGCAATATGTCCAGCAACCTGAGCTGAGGAAACGCCATGTTGATATATATGAAATATGAAGCTGATTTATGATGGAATTCCTTTTTTCTTTCTTTCCATTTTTGGCACGGCTATAAAGAAATTGGGCTGGATCGAGACCAACGTGGTCACTCTTAATTCTCCCTGAAATTAATAGAGCTTGGTTAGTCATAACAAACTTCTCAACAAAGTTGATTTCAATAGGACCTAACTGGGACTGGATCTAATCCAGTGGCCATCCCTTTGTGGGGATATTTCACCATGGTTATCCTCCCACTGTGTAAAGAACCTCAAGCCTTTAGCTAGTGTGCAGCATTGTCTCCAACCTCCACTGGCCACAACATAAATGGAGCATTTGTTGTCAGGCTGAAGTTCCATTCATTCTTGACCACTGAGCATATTGGCTAGGGATGATGGGAACTGACTTTTGGAGGACCACATGCTCCCCATTCTTGCTATAAGATTTCCATTACTTATTAATGGAGGGTTTGAGCAATATAAAGAGAAAAAATGTGCACTGCATGTATTAAGTTTCACTGATCTCAGCAGAGCTTTGAAATAAGCATGCATGGGATTGAAGTCTCAGGGTGCTAATCCCTGACCTTTCCGGAAAGGTGAAACTAAGGTTGTTGTTGTTTAGTCGTTTAGTCATGTCCGACTCTTTGTGACCCCATGGACCAGAGCACGCCAGGCACTCCTGTCTTCTACTGCCTCCCGCAGTTTGGTCAGACTCATGTTTGTAGCTTCGAGAACACTATCCAACCATCTCGTCCTCTGTCGTCCCCTTCTCCTTGTGCCCTCCATCTTTCCCAACATCAGGGTCTTTTCCAGGGAGTCTTCTCTTCTCATGAGGTGGCCAAAGTATTGGAGCCTCAGCTTCACGATCTGTCCTTCAAGTGAGCACTCAGGGCTAATTTCCTTAAGAATGGATGCGTTTGATCTTCTTGCAGTCCTTGGGACTCTCAAGAGTCTCCTCCAGCACCATAATTCAAAAGCATCAATTCTTCGGTGATCAGCCTTCTTTATGGTCCAGCTCTCACTTCCATACATCACTACTGGGAAAACCATGGCTTTAACTATACGGACCTTTGTTGGCAAGGTGATGTCTCTGCTTTTTAGGATGCTGTCTAGGTTTGCCATCGCCTTTCTCCCAAGGAACAGGCGTCTTTTAATTTCGTGACTGCTGTCACCATCTGCAGTGATCAGGGAGCCCAAGAAAGTAAAATCTCTCACTGCCTCCATTTCTTCCCCTTCTATTTGCCAGGAGGTGATGGGACCAGTGGCCATGATCTTCGTTTTTTTTGATGTTGAGCTTCAGACCATATTTTGCGCTCTCCTCTTTCACCCTCAATAAAAGGTTCTTTAATTCTTCCTCACTTTCTGCCATCAAGGTTGTGTCATCTGCATATCTGAGGTTGTTGATATTTCTTCCAGCGATCTTAATTCCAGCTTGGGATTCATCCAGCCCAGCCTTTCGCATGATGAATTCTGCATATAAGTTGAATAGGCAGGGAGACAATATACAGCCTTGCTGTACTCCTTTCCCAATTTTGAACCAATCAGTTGTTCCATATCCAGTTCTAACTGTAGCTTCTTGTCCCACATAGAGATTTCTCAGGAGACAGATGAGGTGATCAGGCACTCCCATTTCTTTAAGAACTTGCCATAGTTTGCTGTGGTCAACACAATCAAAGGCTTTTGTATAGTCAATGAAGTAGATGTCTTTCTGGAACTCTCTAGCTTTCTCCATAATCCAGCGCATGTTTGCAATTTGGTCTCTGGTTCCTCTGCCTCTTCGAAATCCAGCTTGCACTTCTGGGAGTTCTCGGTCCACATACTGCTTAAGCCTGCCTTGTAGAATTTTAAGCATAACCTTGCTAGCGTGTGAAATGAGTGCAATTGTGCGGTAGTTGGAGCATTCTTTGGCACTGCCCTTCTTTGGGATCGGGATGTAGACTGATCTTCTCCAATCCTCTGGCCACTGCTGAGTTTTCCAAATTTGCTGGCATATTGAGTGCAGCACCTTAACAGCATCATCATTTAAAATTTTTAATAGTTCAGCTGGAATATCATCACTGAATATCATCACAATTTTTAATAGTTCAGCTGGAATATCATCACTTCCACTGGCCTTGTTATTAGCAATGCTTTCTAAGGCCCATTTGACTTCATTCTCCAGGATGTCTGGCTCAAGGTCAGCAACCGCACTACCTGGGGTGTACGAGACATCCATATCTTTCTGGTATAATTCCTCTGTGTATTCTTGCCACCTCTTCTTGATGTCTTCTGCTTCTGTTAGGTCCTTTCCACTAAGGTAAGGGGCTTCAACAAACTATGGTAACTAAGGAAACTAAGGTAAGGGGCTTCAACAAATACGGTGGGTCAGCACTGAAGTTTCAGAATTAGGATAATATATTGAAAGTAGCTGTCGTTATTTATATACCACCTGTACGTGATAGTCTATATTGAAATGGTTTGAAGTACACAGTGGCACAATATTCCTAACCCAAGAAAGCAGAAATATTGAAAGGTGTTTTTTTTCCCTGATAGAAAGGAGCACTTTTGATGCAATGGCTTTATGCATATCATGAAATTATTGCCTGGGAGCTTTCCTTTCCTTTATAAGAGGCAGAAATAACTTTTTTGATTGTGCCTTTGGGCACAGATGCTTTAGAATCCTATTTGCCAAATTGATTCCTGAGCAATTTGCTTTGGGTGAAGAAGTGTGTGTGTGTGTGTGTGTGTGTGTGTGTGTGTGTGTGTGTGTGTGTTAGATTTCATATGAAGGATCTGGCTGAAGTACACTGCTAGACAGGATTGGGGGGAAAAACTATTATTCTTTTCTGAACCTACTGCCTTCTCTTACGAAAACAACTAAATATTAAATCGCACATATCTATGATTTATTCCCAAACTTCTTCATTTGTCTTCTGCAAAGTAAACATTAATTGCTGTGTGATGCTGTTCACCTTGTGAATGTTTAAGGGAAACACTCCCACTCACAAACAAGCCACAAAGCCTGTTGCCTATAAGAATGAAAGATTAAGAGCCAGTTCTGTTCTGCAATAAAATACTCTGTTGTCAAGACTGAGATTTCCCTGTGGGGGGAAATAGTCAGTGTTGCAAGGAAGCTCCTCTGAAGTGTTCAGTTAAAAAAAAAAAAGGTGCTATTTTGTGATGGTGTAAAAAGTTTTTCACCTGAGGACAAAATTATCTTGAATCTCTATTGTGTTAGCCAATAAAGCCATACAGCTGAGAATATCAAAGCTGAGGTTTGATTCATCTGCTTTTCTTGCCAGCTAGTGTAATCACAGCCAACTGGGTTTGCAGCAGAACTTTTAATTTGTTCCAGGACTGCCATGTTTTTCATCAAGCCAGGAGTATGGTGATGCTGGAGTCAACTGCATGATTGACCACCTTCATCCAGGGGTGCCCTCCAGATGTTGCTGGATGTGGCTTTTGGGTATTCGTTTGAAAATATCTGTATAGGGGGAGAGAAAGAGTTAATAGGTAGACCAATAGAAAAGCCAGAGGCGGAGCCTACCTGTTTATAAAAGGGCTTAGCCCGAGGTTTAGTTAGTTAGTTAGTTAGTTAGTTAGGTGGTTGGTTGGTTGGTTAGTTAGTTAAAGGCAGTTGGGAGACAGATGGAAATAGAGAGAAAGTTAGTGCAGTGGGTTCTTGTGTGAGGGGAGGTAGAAGAGTTAGAGACAGAATAAAATAAGACTAAGAGGGCAAAGGGTAACAGCATTTCGAATGCATTTAAAGTTTATCTGTGTTTGCAATAAAATACAACCTTCATTGTTAACTTAAGAACCTGACTGAGACTAAGTGATTTACCAGGGAGGACCTGGTTGGTGGCAGCGGATAGTGGTGTACGGGTCAATAGTCCTTGAGACGACTGGGGGCTCCGTACGAATGCCACACTGGACTATTCCTGCTTGACCATTAGTCATTCTGGCTGGGGCTAATGACCACCCTGATATATCCATTCTGCAAGGATGCCATCAGATATGAAGTCAACCGTCACAATGTGTTAGGGAAAATAATATTCCGAATCAGAACCTATCTGATCGCCATATTAAATGTATGGGTATTAATAGTTCAGGGTGTGTAGGGTGTTGGGGAGGGGTAGTACCTCTAGCAGGGGACACATTGCGCTTCTTCTGCAGTCGTTTGTCCACTTAGGAGAGCCAGTGTGGTGTAGTGGTTAAGAGCGGTAGTCTCGTAATCTGGTGAACCGGGTTCGCTTCTCCGCTCCTCCACATGCAGCTGCTGGGTGACCTTGGGCTAGTCAGTCACACTTCTCTGAAGTCTCTCAGCCTCACTCACCTCACAGAGTGTTTGTTGTGGGGGAGTGAAGGGAAAGGAGAATGTTAGCCACTTTGAGACTCCTTCGGGTAGTGATAAAGCGGGATATCAAATCCAAACTACTACTACTACTACTACTACTACTACTACTCTTCTTCTTCTTCTTCTTCTTCTTCTTCTTCTTCTTCTTCTTCTTCTTCTTCTTCACTTTGGGCCTCCACCTTTCACTTAGCCCTCACCTGTTGGCTCCTAGAAGCTGTCAGCATGCAACAGTGGCCACACTCCGGGAACAGCTTCAACTGGCTGGCTAAACCAGGTGAGGGTAGCCACTGGGTCTCAAACCTTCGGTGAGTTAGGGATTTCCCCTGCAGGCTCTGGCAGATGGAGCGGACGTGACCAACAGTGGGTCCAGTGGTCAAGAAGGTAGTTTTGCTGTAGAGGGAAGTGAGGGGTAGATGGGACTTGTAAACCTAGAAAGGTAGCCCACCCAGGAGAAGGAAAAACTCTGATCCTAGACCTCCATTGCCTTGTGGGGAAGAAAGGGCTAAGGAGTAAACCCCACATTTTAGTACCTAAAATGGTTGGATGGCGCCTTGTTTGCCTCCTTCCAGCAACTCCTACAAACACCAAACATATTGCTCTGCTTTCCTTTGGACCACATCAGTGAGGCTGAAGGCAGGGAGGGTCTTGTTGTCTGGGCAGCCCAGGACCTCCATACACACTGCCCAGGCTTGCATCATGGAGAGCTAGCCCTCCCAGTTTGAGGGATATTGGTAAGCATCCCCTCGATTCCTTCATCCAAGTCATTTATAAAGACGTTGAACCACAATGGGCCCAGGACAAACTTACACATATGACAACTTTTTTCAAGGTCTTTAAGAATTAAAAAAAATAAATAAAAAATGTCAGGGACCATATACTTGGTATTATTTGAATTACAGGAATTACTACTGAAACTGGCCCTCGAGTTTATTAGTTTTCTACCGTTTCCTAATTACTGTTTGGTCTAAAAACCAAACATTGAGGATTCATTTCCCGACACCCCCCCCCAAAAAAAATGCCTATGGACATTGGAAAGACCTATGGCTACTGTCCCTGAGTTATATAATCTGTGCATAAATCTGGTATTTGTATTTTGTTCATGTGCACAGGTATCCAATGACGGAATAGATATGAAAAGGGTATTAGGTGAATTTTGCATTCTAACAATCAGCTACAGATTCACATTTCAAGCCAAATAGCACCTTGTTAAAATCTACTTTATATCCCTTTTGCAGTATGACATTGGTCGTTTGTGAGGATTACAGACATTTGAAAATGAATCACAATGTACTAATGTTTACAAAACACGATTTTATACTGGTATCAGTACAAAATGCCATTTCTCAGAGTATGGTTTTGATACAGCCGAATTTCTGTATCTATGACTATTTCTCAATCAGTGGTATCAAACATAGTATAAATATAGAATAACTTCACTGGCTTTGTACAGTATAGTGACACAACTAGCCATCCTAAATTATGTTATACAGTGGTACCTCAGCTTACAAACACCTCGGGGTACAGACACTTTGGGTTACAGACTCCGCTAACTCGGAAGTAGTACCTCGGGTTAAGCACTTTGCCGCAGGATGAGAACGGAAATCGTATGCTGGGAGGCCCCATTAGCTAAAGTGGTACCTCAGGTTAAGAATGGTTTCAGGTTCAGAACGGACCTCCGGAAGTTCGTAACCAGAGGTACCACTGTACATATTAAACTTCTGTGTGCAGCCTTCTCTATGGCACTAAAAGTACTGCAGAGATGTATTGAACTCCCCCCCCCCCCCGCCGCCAAGCCAATATGTCTTATTTAGCTGATCAATGTAGGTGTTACATGTAAATTACTCTAACGTTCGACTTTCAGCAGTTCTAAGCCGTAAGGTGAGAAGATATTTTGTTTTGGTAGTTTCAAGTTTACAGCAAGACACAACTATGAAAACAAATTAAGGAAGGTAATATGTAGAATTGAGTGTCTGGTGTTAATAATTATAATAATGCAATCTCAAGATGCCACATATGCTTGATATTCTGGGCAGGTGTTCTAAAAAATACGTTGAGAATGGGTGTTTTCAGAATTTTAAAATATTTTGTTAATACAGAATGCTGACTTCTATGCTGACTTTTTTGCATAATTGTGGGAATTAAAATTAATAACAGTGTTTAGAGCTCTGGCAGTGCATACTGAGGCCTTCCAGACTAAATGCTGCTGAAATGTACCTCAGGGTACTCCGAACAGAAGGGACTGGGGAAATAAGAAATGTGCCTTATGTCAGAGAGGGTACACAGTTATAACCTTTGTAGGCACTGGAACTTTCCCAGAGGGAAAAGTAATTGACCCAGATGAGTTCCTAGGAAGCACTTCTGTTGTCAGAAGATTGCTGTTGGACAGCCTTTTAACAGCTACGGGCAGGTGTTGGAAAAACTGTGATGCTTGCCAAATGTCCACCTGTAATGTATTGCTATGGAAATGGCATGCGCACTACAACTGCAGGTACCTTTTGGACAGTGCCTGTGACATCACTGTGAATCGCATTGCAAACATCCATCATTTTCAATGCCCTCCTTTTAAAGGTATGATTCCCGTTCCCCCCAATACTAAAACATGGATTTTTTTTAACCCAATGTCTCTCAAATAGCCTTTTCTAGTAGCGAACAATATTATCCTGACCCTTTCTATTATGTGACAATACAGCTTTTGATAACAGATTCACCATAAAAGTAAAGCACTGAGAATCATTATCCCCATAGGAAAATGAGTTTGCGTGGAAATGCATTGAATAGTCCTTATTTTATTGGATTTGAGAATAAAACCAATTGCTTTCTAACTTTTGGAGCCAAAATGAAAACTAAGTGGTAGATATTTATTTTTGATTCAGATTTGTTGTGGCCAATGGCTAGTGCAATAAGATTATTTGGACTGGAAGAGGTAAATGCAGTGGACATATATAATTTTTATTAAATTTTCTAAATTACATTTCATTTAAACAACCTTAAATCAATGACTTCCCTTCTTCTCTTTCGGTGGTTGATTTTGCATACCATACATCCCTGCATATTTTACATGAACTAAACCATTCAATAATCCATTGTTACATCCATCAAAACCTAATTTATCTTAATGCTACCAGCGTTTTTAAAGGAACATAATTTTTACCCATATATTCAGTAAACATTTTCCAGTCTTCTTTAAACGGGCATTCTTCTTCTTCTCTTCTTCTATATGTTAAGTCTGCAAGCTGTGCGTATTCCATCAGTTTAGGTTGCCATTCTTCTTTGTTTGGGACCTCACTCGTTTTCCATTTTGGGGCTAACAAGACATGGGCCGTGGTAGTGGCGTACATAAATAGTATTTTTTGAACCTGGGAATTTCCCTCTGAATTAGCAGAGCCATTTTCAAATCTTAGCAGATGCCAGAATATATTTTTGTTTTCAGTTCTTGATTACTTTGCTGTTTGTTTCCACTTACCCCACTTCAGACTTTCTCGACAGGTGAGCTTGCCATGTTAAACAATGGCCATAGGTTAATCATACATGGTATTCTACAGAAAACACGCCACCACCATACCGTATCTTATGTAGTATCCCTTCTCTTCTGTTTGGTTACCCTAACTGAGTCACAAGAATCCATGGACGGCTCACCTGTGGCAGGGGCACACATTATAAGCCGATATTCATGGGTGGGGACAGGGGCTGATCTACTATGAAACTAATGAATTTTAAGCTTCAGGGTCCCTAATCCTGGAGGGGCCCCAGAGGCAAATTTATTTCACATTGCTTAAAATGTTTGTGTCTAGTAGGCCCGCTTTGAGTGGCAAGGTTCAAACTGATTAATTTTTCGTATAGATTTCAACTATTCCAAAGTTTGACAGGCAGTAGTACAGACATTGTAAAGGTATGGTGATCTGCTGTGGAGCAATCTCGTTGAAGAAGATAACAGTGGTTACCCAGACGCCATTGCTGGTTGCAATGGGGCTCCCTTGACTGTTCAAGCTTCAGCCCCCCCCCCAAATGTAGGTCCGCCACTGGGTGATGGGGATGGAGACTGCATCCAGTAGTGGGGGATCACAGGTGAAACAAGATGGCCCTTATCCCTAAGCCTTGTTCTTTGTAGTTGCAAGCGTGGTATCAAGGTGATTGTGTATCTTCTGAGGGATGTGGCGAAACTCGGAGTTTCATCTCTACAAGTAGATATGGATTGGCTGTTTTTAACAATGCCATCACTGACTACTGTGGCATAAACAGGAGGATAGACAGTGGAGACCAACACTTACTGTTGTTGTGATTACTCTTTCAGGGAAATGTAAGACCATTTGAATGGGGCTCTTAATATATAAAAGCAACCTCTGTGTGTCATGCTTTCTGGGTGGCAGAACATTCTTAAATCATCCTTCTGGTTTCTGCTTATGGGGTCTTCCCACAAATACCCCTCACAGACTTGATGTCAGCGACTGGGCAGAGGAGGAGTGGTGGAGACTGCCTGTGCAGCCTGACCCTTCCAGAAAAGAAGAAGTTTAGAATCACAACAGGGGTTTGAGGGAGATCACAGCTCAGAGGCAGATGAGGAGGAAAGCTGTGAAATAATGGGAGAGGAGGAGGAGGAAGAAGAAGAAGCACCAGGGGGTGACAGTTGACGGACGCAGTGTCTTTAGAAAGCATTCCAGACCCCTCTCTCCCAGAACCCAGCAAGCATTGAAAGCAGAAGAGCAAAGAGCTGAAAGGCAGAGGGCACTTTTCAGCACCCTTAGCGATGATGCATGAGGAAGTGGGAGAGACGGAGGGGGTGGAGGCTCACTTGTGACAACACCATTATTCCAAGAGGCTGCATTCCCAAGCCTCTCTCTGTAAATACTGAAGAAAAAGCAGCTGGTAAAGACTTTTCCTTGTCTTATCCATTCCTGGCAACCTGCCGTGGGGGTTGGTTTCTCTGCCGCCTGACACTTGAGAGGGGTAAAGGGTCATGCCTGGAATTCACTTTTGTGCCATAGTATCATATTGGTGACTCTTGTCAAGAAATACAAACTTTATGTTACCACACATTTCTTTTCTTTATACAGTGGTACCTCGGGTTACATATGCTTCAGGTTACATACGCTTCAGGTTACAGACTCCGCTAACCCAGAAATAGTGCTTCAGGATGAGAACAGAAATCGTGCTCCAGCGGCGCGGCAGCAGCAGGAGGCCCCATTAGCTAAAGTGGTCTTCAGGTTAAGAACAGTTTCAGGTTAAGTACGGACCTCCGGAATGAATTAAATACTTAACCCGAGGTACCACTGTACATTGTTGTTGTTGTTGTTGTTTAGTCGTTTAGTCGTGTCAGCGACCCCATCTTAGTTATTCTAAGTTTTATACCAGTTCTTTTTGTATCGGTTTTATACCACTGAAAAGCTTGACATTTTCTTGATGGATTTCATTTTGCTGCTCTCCATGCTGCTCTCCATGTTAGTACCTGAAGAACGAAACAAAAAGCCTCATCCCTTAAATAGTCTGCAGTCCCTTTTGGTTTTATAACATCTTCAGCATTGAAAAGTGTATCGTCTGCTCCTTCACCTCTGTCATTAATGGAAGATGTGGAACATTCTAGATGTTGCACTGACCCCTGTACAGTGTAGCTGGTTAAGTCTTTCCGGTCCGGCAAATGCATGGATTGTTTATATCTATTACTCGTGGGCCTGCAATCCCCTTCTTTAAACTTAAATAGCATTCCAATTATGAAGTGGAATCCGCAGGAAGGAAAATTGGAGCAACAAGAACAGCTGCAACAAACTAAGTTGTGGCATGTAATGAGAAACAGATGATTTATTTCTGTTCAGTAAGAAGCTACTTTCATTATAAGAAAACGGCAACA